CCCACACTCTCCCCCAATGTGGCCCCGACCCATCTTACGAGACACCCTGTATACAATTGTAAAACAAAAACTTTAAGAATAAAAATATTTATTTACGTGTACGATTTTTTTAAATTGTAGCGTAATTTCTAATACAGACGCGTCCGCCTCGAGATCTCACAGCAGACTGAGCGGCAGTCGCCGCTGGATATTCAGAGTTTCAGACATGTTTACGCGTGTCTCGCGCAATTATAATAGTTTATAACGCAGCTTATTCTACTTACCCTTATAGTCTACTGACCCCGGTCTCTATATTTATTTTTATATATTTAAGTAAAAATTTGGAAATTTAAAACAAAAACGTAAAAAAATTAACTTTACATTAAAAATACATTAATATGTATTGTATATAAGTGTATTATTACGTTAAAAATATTACAAAACATTACAAAAAGTACATTATATGTAATTATCATTTTATAAAATAATAATTTTATTTGATCTAAATTCTGTAAAGATTCTATCTAAAAAAGAAGTGTTATATAGGATTATTATATATAATAGAGAATAGAGAATAAAATCGTAATCTGTTTGTGTCTTATGCTTTGTAATAATTTAGAGAAAGAAATTATGCTACATATGTCATGTCTGCAAAATTTATATTTATTTTCAGCATTTATTCTAAAATTGTTTATAACATTTTAGTATAATGCAAAAATGTGCTAACTTCTAAAATTTTTGCTAATTATTCCTTTTATTTATCTTTTTTAATATCTTTGGTAATATTTATAAATTTTATTTAACCTTTTTGAATATCTTTAGAATTTTATTTCTTTCTCCAAACTGTTCGAAAGGTATGCTTTTAGAGAAGAAGTTTTTAATGGTCTTTTAGGAATAGGGGATTTCTCATTATTATTAACAACCTTCTTGGGATATATATAGGATTTATTTTGAAAATTTATATCTGGATCCCATCGATCTTGAGAAGATACTGGATCACTTCGATTCCATTCCAAAGATTTTCGAAGTTCTTCCCGGGCTTTCATATACTTTTCAGAAATTGGTTTATTGTCTTCTTTTGATAAAAATTTTTTATCAAGAGACTCATTGGATAATTCATCAAACATTTCAGATTTCTCCGAAAGCTTCTCCAGAATTTCGTTATTCTGAATTATTTTGTGAGAAAAATTATTTGTGTTGACACTATTTTTGGTAAGTTTTAATTGTTTCGATTTATCAATATTCTGAATTTCATTTCTAATATCTAAAATGTCCTTTGTTCTGTTCGGCTGTTCTACACAACTGAAATCGTAATCAAATATGTTTCGCGGACTTCGAATTTTTTTCAAACTTGCTTCGATTAGATCAGCCAGATCGACTTTGTCATATCTGACTGTAAAAGGGTTCTCGGACAACTCTTCATCAGTGTTAAATGTTTTAGATTTTGTCGCAATTACTTTCTTTTTAGGTTTGCTCTTTGCTTGTGATTGAATTTTATTTTGCAAATTTTGTATTGAAACTGAGGATGATTTTATATTTCCTACAATATTTTTTGAAATGGATGTTTTAGAAGCAGTTTGAACGGGTGTTTTAGAAGCAGTTTGTGTTTTACATTTTAATTTACTTTCTTGTGTTGATGTTGTTGGTTTCGTGTTGATTTTATTTAAATATTTTCCACTGTTTGATTTCATTGTTTGATTTATTTGTTTATCAGATATTTTGTTACGTTTAGAGACACTTCTAATTTCTTGCTTTGTTGTCATTTTTGACATAATAAGATCTTTTTTGACATTTTTCTCATTGATGTTGAATGTAGAACTAGTATTTTTTATGTTTTTCTTTTGCAGAAACGGCTTCTCATCTTTATTTGTATACGTGCAAAATCGAGTATCAGACATTGTTTTGGAGAGTGGGATTGTTACGAGAGCCATCACCGAAGGATCATCTAAGCGTTTCTTTGTCGTTGATGTTTTGTTCGAGGTAGATTTTGGTGCATCGCTGATAGATTTTATTAATAATTTATTGGTTTTTGAATGATTTATAACTAATGACGAAATTCGATGATTCTGAAAAATATATTTATTGCATATTTTTATCAAACACAGATTATATTCTTGTTAATTATTTTCAATTATTATTTCATACTGTTTGATCTTTAATTGACGTCTGCATTTCTTTATCTTTATACAATTGTTTCCAATCATAGATTATAATCTTTTCTTTTTTTTCTAAACTAATATTGGCTTTTTTATCTCTCGTATAAAGTATCTGCCAAACTAAATCAGTATTGAATACCTGATAAAAATACAATTAATCTGTTATAAATAATATATTTTTATTTCTTTTTTATGGCTTATTATTTATTCTATTTAACACTCTTCCTTATCTATAAAAACAACTAGACAATAAATAGCAAATTTTTTATTTTTCTTTATATTGTTAAATATAAAAAAGAATACAAAGAATAGAAAATGATATTATCATTAACCTTGTCAATTTTTTTTACCTCATAAGCAATACGTGATAATGAAGATAATTTAAGTATATCTGTGAACTCTAAATATTTTGATATTTTTCCGATTACTGAATTTGGTAAAGTTAAAAGATTTCTATTTTCTTTAGCAATATTTTTTACGTATTTCAATAAATGTTTACCTGTAATATTAGAAATTGCATTTTAATAAGTTGTTTTCAGTACACTTAGTTTTCATAACACTTAATTATTATGGAAAAATGAAAATATTAATTGAAATTTTATATATAATATATTATGTAATATAAAATCTTATAATATAAAATCTTATAATATAAAAAAATATAAAAATGTGAGTAAATAAGTAAATAAAATAAGGAAGCAATTTTGAAATTTGATAAAATTAAGAATTCATTTCGAAAAAATTTACCAAATCCGTGACGTATTTCATTCTGTAAAGATTTATCTTCATCAAATTTATTAAGCTTAGCACGATATACGATCGGTGCTTTATGAGGTCCGTGAGAAATTTTCCATAAATACAGAATTACCTAAGAAGTGTGAAAAGATTATTTGAGAAAAGAAAACTTTAAATTCATCAGTACCTCGTCTTCAAAAATTTTCAGACCGTAATAATCTCTGCTGGGCGGAGGTGCAATTGAATACTTTACCAGATATTCGATCCTGTTTCTCATACTCGACGGGGTCACATCGAGAAAGTTTAATCTGAACTCTGCAATTCGTTCCTTGCAGAATGACATGCATAATTGCATATCGAATCGAAACATACAAGGTGTGATACGTTTTAGATATTGAGTTTAATAATTAAAAGAGTTTTTACACTATCAATCTTCACAATGTTAAACAGATTATGAAAAAGATATTTCAATTAAAAATCAATTTGATTAAATAATATAATTTGATAATTATAATATAGAGTAATTATCACAATATGATCATTATGGTAGTAATTATTATCTACGAGTATATTATCTCGTATATTATCTATATTATAATTATATGACAATATATATGAATTACTACATATAATTAATGTTTTAATTAACGTATTCCTTTTTAATTTAAAACTATAATACAGTATACTGAGTGAGACTTTTAAAATAAAATACAGCAATATGTCAAAATTAAACTCGACATACAAAAGTGTTTTAGACAAAAGTTATATAGTTTAAAAGCGGATAAATAATGGTAAAATTAATTTAACAATTTTTCAAAGTTTATAAAAATAATGTTTTAAGATCAACTTTTATGAAATTATATGATTTTTTTACATAATGTAATTAATATAAAACATTTTGTAATTATTAGCTTTTTTAGTACCTTAATACTTAAGTATTTTAATATTTTAATATATAGAATAATAAGATAAATCAATTATTTACGTAAAGAAGATATATAGTTGCTTTTCAAATAGATTTGACATCCGATATTTTATTTTAGGTATTCCTATCCCAAACACAAATTAAACAATACTATTATGTGCATAACTCAAATTTATTTAATTAAAAATTAAAGTTAAGTTTTTAGAATAGAACGATATAATAAGTATTCTTATCTTTCAAAAACATGAAGTCTTAAAGTAAAAAAATTTGAAATTATGGAAGCTAAGCATCGTAGTTTGAGATTTTTTTCTGGTAGAAAAGAATCCGACAAATTTGACTTCGTGATATTTTATTACAATATTTTTCATATGAAGAGATGAAGATAAATATAGAAATGTCGAAGTAAAAATGGAAAGTCGTGTGGCATTACGTATAGTAGTTGTAACGTAGCAATAACAATATACAAGATAGGCTATATAGTAATATCACAATGCATGATTCACAATTTCATAAAAATCTAAAGAATAGGATATAAATCTAGATAGAGGATGCTTCTCATATTGAGTTGCCGCTGAGACAGAGTACCGCGTTATGTCGATCAAATAAAAATCTTTCTATTATATTTTTCTATCATTCTTTTTATCATACTTTTCATACTTTCATAAAAGTGGACGTACTTATAAGGTACACCAATTCGCGTAATGATTGTCGTTATTATTATCATGCAAATAGGTTTATATTGTATGTGTATACTATATGTAATAATAGTACAACAGTACACTTTCTCAACAAGAAAGAATTTTATTGTATAATAATCCGTATTAACACTGTATTTAATGTTAAATATAATTTTATTTAAGAACTATAAGATTTAATTTAAGATTTATAAGATTTTTGATTAATTAAAAAATTGTATATCTAAAATTGGACAGCCACATTTAATGCTAAATATGTGTAAATTAAAATTTCTCTTAATAACAAAATCTTGTTATAATTAATAAATAATAGAAGAATTGAAAATTAATTTCAAAAATTTGTCAGAAGAGTTAAAGATATCCTGTTCGAAATATATGAAAGAAGATAATAGACATTTTATTTTCAATTTTCTATTTAAATGATGCAATATTCCAAATTGAATAATGTTTAAGAAATACAATAATATTTAAATATATTGATTCTTTTTCTAATTATTAATTTAATTAATAAAAAAAATTATTATATTGTGGACAAAATTAATTGCGTATTATAGATATAAATTGATATAAAACGTATCTACAATATTTGTACAAAATATTTTACAAGAAATAAAGTATTTTAAAGTAATTACTTATTGATGTTTCATATTTGATATAACAAGCAAATTAATCCCAGTAAATATAGATATAACTAATGTACTGTATAACATATAAGTAAATATACATTTACATCTATGTTATGTAGTAGTTACATTTATGCTGGAATAAGTCATTGAAAAGATGAGAAATATAATTTCCTTTGAAATATTCTCTTCTTCATTAGCAATAATAATCCATAGGATCAATTTAATATTTAATAATTTAAAATTATTTGCGATAATGAATAACAACAATCTTACTTATTTATATTTCTCACAAATACTTGATCACGCAATTGATATGACATTTTTAGTTCCTTAGTTCTTATAGGCGATTGCTATGTCTCGACGGTACGAAAAGCCGCATGAATAAATTATTACGTGCTAGCATAATCGGAAAATCTTACGAGCGACGGAATAAATCTAAGCGGTATAAAAAGATTTCGGAATTTCGAGCCGTGGAACTTGCGAATCAGCCATTGTTGTATAAAATCAGTACGGCGATCGTTTATCCGACCCGGAAAATTCCCGTGATTCGTGCAACGACATCGAAAAGCCGAGAAGGATCTCGTTCTCGTTCGAGAATATTTGCGCTTTTTCGAATAATTTATTTCGCAGATATCAAACTTTTTTCTACAATCGCGCTTTCGCGCGTGATTGTACCGGCAGACTCGTGAAACGTTCGTAGAGCGATTGCACCAGTGAATGTAGAAATATTGTTGCAACATGTGCATTACGTCACAAATTAGTTAAAAATGTTCAATAACATCTGCTCACAGTAATTTATGTTCTGACATTTTATATGTAAATATTTGTATATAGTATATATAT